GAGAAATCCTCTCAATTAGGTGTTATTATGTGAACATTTGAGTGCTTTAATAGTATTAAAATTGAACAATCTTGGACTTGTCAAATTCATATTATTGAGAAGCCTGATTTGATTATAAGCCTATCAGATCTGTAATTTATTTGACATTCTAATAGAGCAATAGAAGCTTCTAAAAATGACTTAATGATTTGATCTTGACTTGATTTGACTTATATTAGACTAATTTTTGCGTCATTGAATTCTTCTTGTCAAGCCGATCAGTTTCCTCAAAAATAATTTCGAGAGTTGTACCATGCCTCGAGGTCACTAGTATATAATAGACACACCTACGCCAATTGTTATGGAAGAGAAGAAATGAATTGATGCCAATAAAAATAGATAGACATACTAAAATAAAATCAACAATCATAAAAGGTCATCTGTTCAAAATTTATCGGCCATGCCTCGAGGTCACTAGTATATAATAGACACACTTACGCCAATTGTTATGGAAGAGAAGAAATGAACTGATGCCAATAAAAATAGATGGACATACTAAAATAAAATCAACAATCATAAAATGTCATCTGTTCAAAATTCTTCAGAAAAAAAAATCAGACCACCTTAAAAAATGCACATTTAATTTTTTAATTTATTTTGAAAATTAATGCAAAATTTAGAAAATAAATATTTTTAAAAATTGTACTTAGAGTTAATGTAAAAACCTCAAAATTTAACCATTTGAAATTGTAATCATGGCAGCCCCACTATTTTGTTTGGCACATAAATACAAACAAAATCACAAAATCTAATCATTTCATATGGCGCCAGGTGACGTTATGTAGCAAAGTTCGTATCAGTGTGGTTGGGCCACATGAGATTACAAATTTATATATATATATATATATATATATATATATTAAAAAAAGAGTTGTAATATATTAATTTTTCAATTTAATATATAAATATGATTAATTTAAAAAAAATGTATAAAAAAGATCTACACTGACATATATAGATTTTATAGTTTCTTTTAGTTAGCCATTTTATATATTAAATTTAAAAAAATATATTTTAAAATTCATCTTCCGGAAAAGTATTTTTAAAAGGCACATTCCGTTAAAAGGAGAAGACGAATTGCGATCTAAAATATTGAAATATTATCTTCTAAGAAGATAATTTGAGGAGACGTTCAAAAGATGTTGCTTCATTAATGATGCCCAGATCGCCCACGTTACTTAACATGAACTACATTTAAATTATATTTACTACTAAAAACTACATTTTGATACCCATCATTTCTTAAAAATAAATCTTCTCATAAATGCTCAATATTTGAATTGCTTTGTTATTTTGTATATTATTTAATGCATTAACTATAATGAAAGTTTATATTATTTATCTTACATTATGCGAAGTATTTAACATCTAAGGATTTATGCGTCTACCTAGATATACTTTATTTATAAAATTATTATATAAACTAATAGATTCATATATTTGCATATAACATAATAAATAATTAAATAATTCATAATTATTATTTAGAAGAAAAAAATTATTGAGAATTTAACGAAATGCTGTATGAGGATATTCATTTTTAAGTAGATAAGATCTGAGATATGCAATCCATATTGAATTTAATTAAAACAATTAATATATTTTAAGTAAATGAATTGACATGCCATCAATAAATTTTCGTCATTCGACATTAATCTCTAAGCACAATATGAATCTCAAGATGATTTTTGAGCAAGAAACATTTAAAATTTTATTAAAAGTCATTCAGAACTCCGTTTTTAGCAAACATAGTCAAACTGGCCGGTTCGACGAGACAGACCAAAAAATACCAAAATTGGTTCAATCCAAATCAAATCAAGCCTCAATCAAGTAATTAAACCACTTTTGAAAGCTTTCAGTGCATAATTAGAAGATAACATGAACTTCAAATATGACAAGCTTAGAATCAAATCGAGTGTCTCGACAAGACAAATCCAATGAGCATAAGGTTGCTTCATTTTGACATCATTAAGGTACTCAAATACTCATTGAATACCCTCTGATCGAGGGAATCTCCTAGAGCCGTCCAATAGAGTGGTTTGAATTCTTCTTTATTTGCAGAGAGGTTTCTTTAAGGCTCTATAAATAGATGGTTACAACCCATGATTGAAGCTTGGAAGAGAAGATGAAGTCCAACATCGCTTATACACCACATACCCGATGAATACCTCTCACTCATGCAACCACTAACACTGTCAACCACCACTTGTCAACCACTGTCTATCCTCATTAGCCATCACTTGCTTCGTGCAGTGACAAACCTTGAGTACAGTGTAACAATGCACCCCGAATATGATGCAACGCACACCCCGTTGATAGGAGTCTAGAGTTGCACTAGCTTCGAACAATGTAGGACATAATGGAGAGCTGTGATGATATTTATAGTTTGTAGGGGCCAGAGTCGAGAGTTGCATGAGTTGTAAGCCACTTAGGCTATAGTTGTTATATGTGGTGATATTCTTAGTTCTTAAAGGCCGAAGTTAAGAGATGCATGAGTTATGGACAATGTAGGTCATAATTAATCATATAATTGTAGTTGTGAGCTTTGGGGAGAGAGTTTTAGAACGTTAGAGAAAATCATCGTATTCAAAATGCATTATTGCACCATCTTCCAAAGGTGTCATTGCACCGTATGTGGGGTGTAGTATTACATTGTCATCGGGGTGTGTCGTTACATCCCAAATAGTTAAAAATCATGATTGTATTTGGCTATGTAGGCTGCAGATGATTGCTTCATGAGTGTTGGTCACAGAGGTTTTAGTAGAAAGATTCAGGATTTGTGAGCCACGTATGTTGTGTTTGGTCGCATAGGTTGTGGCTGTGAGCTGCAACAACGTTCGTCGACTGAAGGGGAGAGAGTCGGGAGATGCTTGTATTGTGGAGCACATAGGCTGGAATTTGTCATATAGATTGTAATGGTGAGCTGTGATGACGTCTATAAGCAATAGTGATCGAAGTCAGGAGCTGCAGAAACTCTGAACCACACAGGCCGTAGTTGGTCATGTAAGTTGTAGTGGTGGGCTGGGATGATGTCCTTAGGCCGCAAATGTTAGTGGTGAGCTGTGAGGACGTCAATAGGCCGCAGAGGTTGGTAGTGAGCTCTGAGTACGTCCATAGGCCACAGATGTTAGTGGTGTGCTACGAGGACATCCATAGGCTGCAGAGGTTGGAGCTGGGTGTTTCATTGTAAGTTTAGGGTGCATCATTGCATCGTACTAATCCATAGGCTGCAGAGGTTGGAGCTGGGTGTTTCACGAGTTTTGGATCACATAGATCATAGTTGGCCATGCAGGTCATGATTGTGTATTGTGGGGGGAGGGGGGAGCTTTAGGAATCCAGAGAAAGTCACCCTCTTTGGAGTGCATTTTCACATTGTATTTGGCAGAAACTATTACACAGTGTGTGGGGTGAGTTGTTACAACTTCATCGGAGTACGTCGTTGCCCTTTATATAGAGTGTGTTGTTATACCATCTTCAAAGTACATTATTGTACCGTATTTTGGGTGTGTTGCTACACTGTCTTTGGGGGTGCATTTGCACCATATCCGAGGTGCGTTGTTATGTCATCTTTGGGGTGCATCA